AGCTCCAGGAGCGTTTGGACAGCGCTGCCAGGGATGCACAGGGTGGGATTGTTGGGGGGTCTGTGCAGGGCCAGGGGCTGGATCCATGATCCCTGTGAGTGCCTCCAGCTCAGGACATTCCATGGTTCTGTGACACTCCTGGCCAGGAGAGCCCCGTGCTGGGGGCACCCACCGCCACGTCCCCGATGTACCGCGCCAGCCGTGCCCGATATTCCTCRTTGAGCTCCTTCAGCCGCAGCTGCAGCCGCGCGTTCTCCGCCTCCACCTCCTGCAGCTGGTTCTGGGACGTGAGCAGCACCTGGCACAGCAAACAAAACCCTGCTGTCCCGCTCCTCCAGCCAAGGAGGGAGAGCTGAGGAGCTCCAGGAGAGTAGTGGGACTTCATTTCCAGATATTTGGCTTCACCAGATCTGGGGAGGTCCTGGATTTTTAGAGGAACCCACTGGGAATGTTTATAATCCCCATTCCCCTGCTGCCTTCTGTCATTTGCCACCCCCCACCCCAGCGATTCCACCAACTCCTTCTGAAAACCAGCAAACAGAATTCCTCCCACCGCCTTTGCAAGCCGCGCTTCCACCACGTGCAGTGGGAAATGCACGGAGAGAACCTGGGCATGCCGAGCTCCCTGGAGAGGGACAGGGGCTGGAGCACTGGACCCAAGCCCTGCCTCTCAGAGGGAGCACGTKGAGCCCAAGGAGGTGCAAGGCAGCCTGTCCTCACCGCTGACTGCTCCGCCAGCCTGTTCCGCGTGTCCCCGATTGCTCCCTTTGCGTCCTGCAGCTCCTTCCCCAGCGCCAGCCTGGACAGGAAGAAGCTGGGTTTGTTTAAAGCCCCAAAACTTCTGCTCCYGGATCCTTGAAAGTGCACAAGACCAGGAAGGATGTGGCTTGGAGCACCCTGGGATAATGGAAGGTGTCCCTGCCCATGGCAGGGGTGGGGTGGGAAGAGCTTTAAGGTTCCTTCCAACCCAAACCATTCTGACATTCTGTGATTCCCCACAGATCCAACACAGCCAGCTTTGGGAAGAAAATCGCTTTGGAATGACAGAAATGTCCCAGCAGCAGCTGCCATCCCCCAAATGTTTGTGCCACAAAAGCAGTGCCACGAAACCTCTCCCCACCCAAGGTGAACACCCTCCACAGTTCAGAGAGCCCTGCGGCGTCCCTGCTGGGCCAGCATTTCCTGGGACACCAACCCCATCCCAAGGTGATGGAAATCCCACTGCAGGGGTAAGGGCTGGGCTGGATTCATCCCTGGGCTGTCAGACATKTGCTGTGTGCCACAAAGGGCRGGTTTCCAAGGTGCCCCTGAASACCACCAACTTTATGCCAACAGYTGACTCTGAAGAGCCCTGAAAACAYCAGGTTTTCCTTCCAGGTCTCACTTCTTCCACAGATGGATGGTCATTCCTTCCCTGCACCCCCCAAAGGCCGGCTGGCTCCTCTGCTGCTCCCATGGATCAAACCCTGCAGCCTCAGGTCCCAGAAATGCCAGGCTGGGCACAGGGACGTGCCCCCAGCACTCACACTTGCTCCTCCAGCTTCTGCTGCTGCTCATCSTGGGTTTTCTTCAGCTTCTCAAGCTCCACTTCTATGTGATCCTGGTTTCCAAGCAACTGAGGGACAAACGAAGAGGAAGATGAGGCAGAAGGCTGAGTGAGGAGAGGACAAACCTTGAGCTGAGCAGAGACACGCTGGGGAAGGACTGGTTTGACTGGGAGGAACTGGTGCCCTGCAGGAGCAGCATCTGAGGGGCAGGCAGGGCACGTGGAGGTGCCCACGTGTCGCTGTCCCCAGGGAATTGCTCACGTTGAGAGCAGGATTCCAGCAGGAGCCGGTGGCGGAGCCCAAGCTGGTTCCACAGAGGCTGCAGATGGGGAGGAGGCAGGGACCAGCTCTGTGCTCTCAGCTTTGGGTGCTGCATCACCCCCAGCTTTCTCAAGTGTGAGAAAGAAGGGAAAAAAGTATCCTCTGCACTTGTRGAATTCTAAACCCCTTCATGTGCTCCCCCTGATGGGGCACGGCCCAAGGGTGCGACCCCTGCCCTCCCTCAGCTCCCCCCAGCACATCTGGAGCTATCCCCATCCCCTTTTGCGACTGCAGAGTTTAAAAAAAGAATTTATAATGAATCAAGGCATCAGCTGATCCACAAAACTCAAGTTAGCAGCAGGAGGTGCCAGCCACGGTTGGAATCAACCCCCCTCTGCTTCCCGAGGATCCAGCAGCAGAACCCCCCACACTCACGTTTCTTTCCAGCTCCTGCTGCTCCTGGGCAGAGGCAGCTGTGTCTTCGGGCTGCTTTGGGGAGATGGAGGAGAAGGGGCTGTTAAATCCCTGTTCTCCAAGGGGCTGGTGGAAGGGCAGGGRGTGYCTCACCTTCCCCCTTGGAGCAGAGYGAGGCTGTCCCGCTGCTCTCCCTCTTCCCAGCTTGGGGGAGGATGGATGGGCTAAGCCAGGGGGGTGGATGCTCCCTTTGGCCAGGCTGAGCAGCTCTTGGSTCAGCTCCTCGTTCCTCAAGACCTGCCAGGTCAAACAAGAAGGAAAGAGCTTCTGAAATCCCCTTCTGGTCAGCACATCCCTGCTGCTCCTGGTGGGTGCTCCAGGCAGCCCCTCCCCAAATTAAGTTTTAATTTTAGTTCTGTCTCCTATRTCCAGAGACACCGGTGATTTTGTGATTCTCATGGAGAAGCATTGCCAGGCCGCAGGGTTATTCCCGTGGGACTTTATCCCTCTGCACAGCTCCCTCTCCCACTCAAACCCAGGCCCCAGTGCCAGCCCTGGGCACAGCTCTGGGCACAGCTCTGCCACTGCCTCTCCCAGCCTCCAGCTCCCTCCTCACCCCAAACCTGCCCCTTCCGTGCAGCTTCCCAGTGCTGCAGGAATGTCCTTCCCTGCGGAACAGCTTTGAGCAATGCTGGGCTCCACACCACAAGGAGAAGGGCCAGATCTCCATCCATCCATCCATCCATCCATCCATCCATCCATCCATCCATCCATCCATCC